CAAGAAATTACAGTTACTCACCACTTTATCACTGAAGTTACAGAAAATAAGTTAAACCACAATGGTGAATCTGAAAAAAATAAAGTCTTATTGCAGAAGAAGTAAAAAAAAAAAAAAACAAGACAAAAAAAGTCCGTTTTAATGTGACGAACACAACAACCTCCTTGTATGTTTTTGAACCTGCACAATGGACCCTCCAAATCATGTGGCCCGTATTATCAGTGAGAGGAGATTCCTGCAACATCAATCTCATCAGGTTTATATTAACGAGGAGCGTAAGAAGAGAACAGGTTATAGCCTTATCACGCAGTTGCCCTTTGGAGCAATAAAAACTACCTGGAAAAACTAATGCCTAATAGTGTGTGTGTGTGTGTGTGTGTGTGTGTGTGTGTGTGTGTGCGCGCGCGCGCGCGCGCACCACTATTCTCAGCTAGATGGCCGCTTGTTTATCTTCAATCCTTTAAGACCCCAGATGCTATATCTTTTGGTAGCCGGGCACCATCAGCTTTGGAGTCATCGGTTGCTAGGAGGGAGTAAGATGGGACTTGCTCCTCCCATAAACAGTTACAGTCTCAGAAACTCACAGGAGCAGGTTTACCCTGTCCTATAGGATTGCTGTGTCGGATCAACTTGACAGCAGTGAAGTTTTTTGTTTTTTCACTGTGAGTTCAGAAATTGGAAAAGAATGAGTTTCCCTTTTCACATATAAAAAGGACTAGAGCATCCTCGCTAACCTGCTGTTTCTGGTAGGTCGCACTGAGTATTTCCAAGGAGACTGCGCATAACGGAATGAACCACTGCCTGGTCCTGAGTCACCGTCACTCTTGTTCCTATGCCTGAGTCCGCTGCTGTAGCTAATGTGCCAATTCATCTCATGGAGGGCCTTCCTCGTTTTCACTGCCCCTCTACTTCACCAAGCATATCGTCCTTCTCCAGGGACTGGTCTCTCCTGACAACATGTCCAAAGTATGTATGCTAACCTGCACCTGTTAATACCAGCTTTATTTATTAACATAATCAGTAACACATCCAGAAACCTCTCATGGAATAAGAGCATATGACAATGCTATATCAAGTAACCAATCCCCAAAACACTGCCATTGAGTCAATTCTGACTAATAGGGACCCTACAGGATAGACTAATACATAATAGGAAGTAAATCAAACTCACTGCCATCAAGTAGATTCTAACTCATCGTGAACCTACAGAGGCATATAAAACTGTCCCTGTGCTCCAAGATGTGAATGCAACATAAAGGCAGGAAGTGACAAACAATAGAAACATGGGTGAAGGGAGACAGCAAATGATCTAAGATATAAAAATAATAATAATTTATCAAGGGGCCATGAGATTGTGGGGGGGTGGGCAGGGAGGAAGGGAAAAAGAGGAGCTGATACTAAGAGCTCAAATAGAGAGTAAATGTTTAGAAAATGATGATGGCCCCCTCCCCCCAAAAGAATTCACTTCAGAGGACAGCACTGAAGCTGCAGCTCAGGGAGAGGGCCATGTCTGATCAGAGCACACAGGAGCAATGAAGGGGGAGGAAGAGAGAGTAGAGCACATCCTGGCCCACCAAGCCTTGAGGACGATATTCCTGCTCAGAGCAGCCAATCCACAGAAAAGACCATATGGCCGGCCCCACTGTGAGAGACGACATCCCTCACTGACCCATAGCCCTACAGTGGGCAACAGTGGAGACACAGTATGGGAATTGCGCCCAATCTAACCCCACCAGACCAAGGCAAAACACTAAGGGCGTGCAACAGAACAGCAAGGGGAATAGAGCAAGAAGTCCCAAGGGAATGCCAAAAATAGACTTTGGGGCTACAGCTTGGCACCCCATCAGACTCCAGCAGAAAACACTCCTAAAGGTTAACAAACAAACCTGGAACTATCTAAAGGCTTTTTTTTTTTTTGGCATAGGTTTTTGTTGCTGTTGTTCTTTTGTTTCTTTGTTTGGCTCTGTCTTGTTTTTGTGCATATGATCACCTCTGTAGATCTATCTAGATAAGAGAGGCTGGATAAACAATCTGGAAGAGAAAACAACGGGACTGATCATTCCTGAAGAACATGGGAGAGAGGGAGGTGGGGGAAAGGAAGTGGTGTTAACAAACCCAGGGACAAGGGAACGACAACGGATCCAAAATCGGCAGAG